GAGGAGTGGCACGTAGCGCCTAAGGCACTTACTTGACTGTTAACCAGAAGGCTGGTGGTTCAAACCCACCAGCCACTCCTTGGAAGGGGCAAATTTAGGGGCCCTAATATATGGCATACATAGACTATCAAGCATAACCCAAAATGCACAAACAGCAGAAGAGAAACTAGATGAATGGGACCCTCTCAAAATTAAATTTTTATGTGCTTCCATAGACTTCTCCAAAAGAATCAAAAGAGAACCTACAGATTGGGAAAAAATATTTGGCAATGACATATCTGACAAGGAACTTATCTCTAGAATTTATAAAAAAAACTCTAACACCAATTAATCCAATTAAAAAATGGGCAGAAGACATGAACAGACACTTCACCAAGGAGAATATTCAGGCGGCCAACAAACATATGAAGAAATGTTCACGATCATTAGCCATTAGAGAGATGCAAATCAAAACAATGAGATACCATCTTGCCCTAGCACTAGCACCAAAGTTCAACAAGACAGAAAATAACAAATGCTGGCATGGATATGGAGAGATTGGGACTCTCATACACTGCTGATGGGACTGTAAAATGGTACAACCACTGTGAAAAGCAGTATGGTGATTCCTTAAAAAGTTGGAATTAGAAATACCATTTGACCCAGCCATTCCATTACTAGGTATATATCCTAAAGAAATGAGAGCCATGACAAGAACAGACATGTGCACACCCATGTTCATCACAGCACTGTTTACAATAGACAAAGATAGTAACAACCTAGTGTCCATCAACTGAGGAATGGATAATCAAACTTTGGTACATACACACAATGGAATACTGTGCAATGCTAAAGAATAATGTAGAATCTGAAAAACACCACATAACATGGATGAACTTGGAGGACATTATGCTGAGTGAAATAAGTCAATCACAGAAGGACAAATGTTGTATTAGTCCATTATTGTAAAAGTCAAGGAAAGGTTTATATATGGAGGGAAATTTTCTTTGTTGGTTACCAGGGGTGGGAGGGGAGGGGAGGGAACACTGTTAGATAGGTAAGGATTAAATGAAGTAAGAGTATAAGATAAGTATTTGTTTGGGTAAAGAGAAAGGCAATGTACCAAATGTGAGTGATCAGCATGGTGGCATTGAGGAAGATGAACCCTTTTGCATATACAGTACTATGTTGTCAGTGAAGGCAAACATGGGTATATGGGTGGATAGATGGGTGGACGGGCTGAACTATTAGGTATGTCTATGAAGCGGGGAGTGTTCCCAAGATGATGTATAGGGTTGGCAGACAATGGTCCAATAAGTGTATTCATATGATCTGAATTCCCAGGTGTATAGTAGAGCTGAGAAGGGGCAAGGTTGTAGTCACTTCTTGATCACAGCCAGCTACCCTGAGGAACTGAGTTGTTGAACCTGTGGGCTCGGGACCGTAGTCACAGGGGACATCAAGCTCAATTGGTATGACATACTACACAAAACATTGTTCCACTTCCTACTTTGGCAAGTAGCGACTGGGATCTTAAAAGCTTGCCAGCAGCCATCTAGATGCAACAATGGGTCTCACATGTCCAGAGCAAAGAAGAATGAAGAAAACCAAAGATTCATGGAAAGAATTAGTACTAGCGACTGGTACACCATGCAATCCTCAGCCTGTATGACTATGAGACCAGAAGAACTAGATGGTGCCCAGCTACCACTGTCAACCACTCGGAGGTGATCTATGTAGGAGATCTTGGATAGAGAGGGAGAATGATATGGAACGAAACTCAAAATCATTTGGACAAAAATAAAAGGGGGAAAGGGACCAGGTTTCCTGGTCTGATAGAGCCTAGTGGAACCACTGAGACTGTGGCCCCTAGCTGCCTTTCAGGTCTGGAATTGAACCCATACCTGTGGCTTCCAGCAAAACAAAAGACAGGCATAGAAGTTGAACATTTACCTGAGGTAGATACACTCCTTGGAGAGAACAATCATGGGAGAAGGAAGGGCTGTTTATGCACAGGAAGACAGTTCAGGGGGCAGGAGTGCATGGAGGGATGGACACAGGGAAGAGGTGACTGTGGAGAGGAAGTGGGAGGGGAGCTGTTGCATTGTGGTGAATTGTGGTCAGTGTCATGAGACAAAGTGTATGTGAACTGCTGTATGGAAAGCTAATTTGCTCTGTAAATTTTCACCCAAATCACAATTAAAAAAAGAAAG